TCTACTAATGATATCAAGGTTATATTTCCTTTCCTCATTCTTCTCCTGCAATCAACTCTATTGTAAAAGTGTTTGTAAATGATAATTCTTCAAAATATTGATTATGTTTGTGTTTCTTCAAGTAAATCGGACATTTTCCGTACTTATCTACTTCAACCACGTAAGAAAAGGAGAAATGTGAAGGAAAACGAAATCTAAGATGTTTTGCATTTACTTTGGAAGATGAAAGTGCTTTCACATGAGCTTTCATAAAAGGCCTCGAATGATTTGTAAATGATTTAGAATATAACGTCTCATTGACCTGTGAATAATTCAAAAACGACAGAGTACTAGTGCTATTAAACGTGGAATCTGGAGTAAAGGGAGATTCAGTTGATAATCCTCCTTTTTAGAACTGGGTGTGATTTTGGAGAATTTAAGTTTGGAAACCTTTTAGCTCGAAGCAAATCATTTTGTTCGGTTGAGTCTATTTTCTGAGAAATTAAAAAGTGTTGTTTTTTTTCGAACCTCTTTCAGAATCATAGTGGTTTCTTTGATACGTAAGGTCGACAGGTATATTTTTACTTTTGGTGTTAACACTTTTATCTGATGATGACTTGTTATTTTTTGTTTCATTACTATTCTCTATTTTCGTATTACTAGTGATGTTTTCTTTACTGGTTTGAAGTTTTGTCGTGAGTTTTATTTGAAGAGCTCAGTCCATTGTCTATAATGATATAATATTATACTAGTCTTCATAAAAATACTAGTTTGTTTGTTTCTTGAATTTCGCGCAAAGCTACACGAGGGATATCTGCGCTAGCCGTCCCTAATTTACCAGTGTAAGACCAGAGGGAAGGCAACTAGTCATCACCACCCACCGCCAACTCTTGGGCTACTCTTTTACCAGCGAATAGTGGGATTGACCGTTACATATAACGCCCCCACGGCTGAAAGGGCGAGCGTGCTTGGTGGGACGGGGATTCGAACCCGCGACCCGCAGATTGCGAGTCGAGATCCCTAACCACCTAGCCATGCCGGGCCTAAAAAAATAACAGTGAAACAGAACAGTGCAAAGCACAATATAATCCATTCCGCGAGGACTTTCATCCCTTTCTATGGCCAGCAAAAAATGGCAATATATATATGTAAGGATTATTTAATTGTAAAGTTTAATATAGCTCAAATCTTATATCTTTTAAGAGTTCGTTCAAATATTAATAATTTTAGGATTCAAAACATCGCGAACCGTTACTCTGCGAATATCTATAAATAGAGAAAATTAAAAATTTATTTGTCAAGCCACATAACAAGCTATAAAATTACTTAAAAAATATGTAGTTAGTTATGTTTTCAAACATTAGAAGTTTTTGAACAAAAGAAAGTCTGAATCAGTTTGTTACATACATGATGCAGGTACATAGTTTATACATAAGGTTCTAAAATTTATTAAATATTTCGAGACTCATCTCCAAATCCAAAATATATATTATTCCAATATTTTAAATTAGTAGAATCCTAAAAATTTCTATATAAATATTTTAATTAGGTTTCTGAGTGCACCTTGAACATATATAGAAGCATAAAATATATACGCACTAAGCGAAAGAATGAAAGGTAAAATAATTTTTGTTGATGAAAGCAGGAAATTATACTTTAAAGTCGAAAAAAAAAACTTCCCCTGTGAGACAGTGGGAAGTTAAGTATACGGACTTATAACTTCAAAATTCGACGATCGATACCCCACGGTAGACACAGCAAATAGTCCAATGTAACTCTGTTCTAAAACAAACAAACAAACAAATCAGTTAAAATAAAACAAAACTGCTTATTAAAACGTTTCTAGCAAATGATATTCATCATGCCGTTGTGCTGTTTATTTAGTTGGAAAAGATAATTTGAATTCAAATAACGTGTACTACAATTGGTTAGTGTTGTTGTTTTAAGTGCAAAGCTACGCAATGGGCTATTTTTGCTATGTTCATCACGGGTATTGAAACTCGGCTGATAGCATTACAAGATAAATAAAATAAAAAAATTGGGAATTTAAAAACCTACTAATTAGGATCGAAAAAGTAAGCAAACAAGGCTGGGAGTACTGTAGACATTATTTACTCAATCTACAAACCCCTATTTTGGCTTCATGCTGTTACCTAGGGCTACATTTGGTGGAGTCAAAATAGGGATTTGTAGCTTGAGTAAATAATGTCTACTGTATCTTCAGCCTTGTTTACTTATTTTTTTACGATCCCTATTTGCAGATTTTTAAAATCCCAGTTTTTTATTTATCTTGTTTACTGGCTATTTTATGCTCAACTATGGGTAAAGGATTACTTGATATGGTAGCTAATTTATACATTGTAATGATAATATACATAGATAGTAGCTAGCTGATACGGTTTTCGCTTTATTCATAATATAGAGATTGGCTCCCTAAAGACACCGATTGTACAGTGTACAAAACATTCAGTATCTACATATTACAGTCACCTAATGTTCATCTATTATTTCTGGTAATTCCTGTTTCACCTTGTACTTAAGCTTTTTAAAGGAACAACATATATTTGTAAGAAAACTATCTTCAAGGGTAATGATAATATCGTTTGCACTAGAATTATGATATTTTTTTAGCTTATATAAAATATAAAAGAAACAAACCGACTTTTAAACACCACTACGACCTTCAAAGTACCTTATTCAGTATTCTACAAAAGGTTTCGGTGCTATATACCAAGCTGTTTTTGTTGTAGGCTGGCAGGAGAATAATAATAAGAATTACCAACGGGCTGTTTTGAGCGGATTTAATTTTCTTTGTAAGCCTAACGTGCATGCTTATTTGTGCATTTTATGTGTTTACAGTCTTAGCAGTCAATAGTAAATGTTTTAACGTGTTGTTTGAATCAAATCTTTACTCTTTAAGGTGCATTTCACCCAGCCTTTCGATTAGAGTTTTGGACAATTCCTTGCAATCCCAATTATGAACCACTATTGTGATAAACCTTCATACCTATGACTGAGCCATTGGGGGAGGGGGGGCACACTACATTTTCGTTATTCCTTATAGTTAATTCATAGATATTCATCTGAGCTGGATCGTAAAACTATTGCACTGTGAAAAACTAAAAAAAAAAAGTTATTAAATCCGTGCTTAGCCAGGAATTTATGCAAACGTTAACAAACAATACAGCATAAATATCAATGTTATTTATTTCAATTAATAAATGAATCAGCAAAAAGAACCAGATGAAGAAAAACCTATTTCAAAAAAAAAAAAAAAAAATGTTCTAAAATTAAACCACCTCTCATGATCAATAACAATCAGCATTAATTCGTTCTAACTCGTGAATTAACTCATTTAAGATCAAGGAAGGGTTTCTATTTAGTGACTAGCTAATTAATATTTATATTTGTACATTACTGCTAGAGGAAGTTTGTGTCAGTTTTATAATATAAATATACTAAAATTTAACGTGCTCTAGGTAGAATGTACGTTAGCGCTTACTAAAAATTAATAGTTGAAATGAACGATAGAAGGGATAATAAATAAACAGTAAACAAAACAAATGGAGAAATCGCTCTCTCACCAGAACATAATTTACAATACCAAAATAGAGCAATATTAACAGTTTTTTCTTCATATTAAATGCTAAATTAAACGTTTCTAATTTTTCAGAAACGTGAACAAATCACTGACTTTCTCTTCAAATATTATTATGAATAAGAGAACTGTTGATCATTTCATATTGTCAGTTGTGTTTCCACCTTAGTTTTCTTGAAAAGTGAATTTAATATTTTAGATACTTCCTTTTTATAGTTTAGATGGCGCTCAAAATTAACTGGTCTGAGATACCCACTTACTGTGTTCGTAAAAATGTGTTATGTATATATTTATATTATAATTCGTATGTTCCTTTGTTTTGTCACGAATTCACATTGTTGAGAAGACTTTGTATTTTTATGATTTATATTACAAAAGATATATATGCCTAAGATTTATTCATAGTGTGTCTAAATATACATAAACTATTTTAAATGTATTATTATTGCTAATAGTACAGTAGTAGTACTACTACTAGTTATTCTATTGTAATGTAGTACTGTTACCTTTAGCAGCACTAACACTGAGTAAACAGTGTTAGTTTTCTAAATTAATCATGTTAATACCAGTATGTAGGTTTAGGTATTTAATAAAATTAGGTTACTTTAACACTAATTTCCCGGCGTAAAAAACACCCTAACCCTTTACATAAGTCTAGAGGATTAAAAGTTAATAAAACAGACGTATATTGATAATTTTGTGCTGTAGTATTTTTTGAATTATTGAAGAGACGAGTAATTAATATTGACAAAAATCATCATGGTTAAACTAAAAATAGGGAGTTTACTCTGTCCATTACAGACTTGTGGAAACTGGAAACATGCAAGTTAAATACAAAATCCAGAAAACTTTTGAAATAACTATGAAAACCAAGTTATATTGTTGGCTTTTCCTTTAAAGTACTTTATTCAAAAAGTTGAATGTACCGCAAAGTAAGAGTGAGTCAGAGACGTAAGATATGTTTGTTTTTGTTAATCCTAGAAAAAACTTGTGATTCCCTGCCACTATGCCAGTGATGGTCTTGCCATGTTACACTGTGAACTGAACACTGCTGAGGGTATATACAAAAGTGTCAAATTAAAACAAATACATGGGCACAATTCAGACAAATAATAATTTTGATTATATACATAATTGTTTTGGAATTTCATTTATTACTAGTCTAAAGCTGCATAGTTAAACTACAAAATTACATATATAATATTGTTCACAATAGTTTCTATAAAGTATATACATGACTGTTGTGTACTTAATCTTATGAATTGCTATGTCTGTTAGAGAAAAATAGCTGAACGACCACAGTGAAAACAATTTGAAGTTTTGATTGTATGCACAACCTTTTTTTAGAATGTTACTTACTGCACAACGTTTCATCTGACAAGTAAAAAAAATTGGTTGTTGCAGGTTAGGTTTGAATACCTGATCCTAGGCTCTTGAAACTATTGGGACAAAGCCCTGCTATTAGTGCTATATGCTGTGAAACAAATATTTTTGAACATGTGAATAGTCACGGTATAGACATGTGTAAAATATACCCAGGAACATTGGATGTTCATTGTAAATATAGCCTTTTGAACAGTTGGTGTGTGATTACCATGTGTATAGTCATTATTGCTAAATATTCATGAACTTTGAAGCAAGAAATTTTATCATTATCAGTAAAAATAATCTTTGAACAGAAAGTACAGTCAGTCTCTTGAGAAGATGAACAAGATGTCATTTGAAGGCTTTTGTTTATATGTAGAATGAAAATGCTTGTGATATGTTTAGGTAGGAAAGTTTGAGTGAGTGTAATTATTGGATGAGCTGTTAATAGCTGTGTGTCAGGATTAACATGCTATATTCTAAAGATGATAAAACATATATTTAAGATATGAGAAAGACAAGGAAGTGTTCGGTTAAGACAGTTTTATTTTTCTAACAGGGTTATTGACTTATGGAATGAGTTGTCATTTACAATAATGGAAGCCAGAAGTTTATAATAAAAATAGATTCTACTGAAAATTATGGGGTTGGTTTAAACTAAGATTTATCAATTACTGTCCAGCCCACTTGCTTTCAACACAGGATACTTGAAATAATCATTTTCTTGTAAAAATTGAAGAAAAAGTAGAATTTAGTAACCAAGCCAAATTGTAATCATCATAACTGTTTTTATTATCTTATGATAATAATTTCAATTTCCACTGTTAATTGCTGTTTTTATTATTTCAGGATTTCTATTTTTTCATCTAGGTGTCTAAATCCTGTGAGGATTTGTATTTTCTCAAACTCTTTTATGAGATGCCTTCTACCATTTAAAGAAGTGTGTCAAAAATGTCAACCTCATTTCGTCGAAAGGTTGCTTCTCTGGTTTGTTTTTATTTTTTTCTGATTTTGAACTAGTATTGTCAGATGTTATAGTTTTTAAATTTAAATTACAGCATATTTATATTTCATTAGACTAAACTCAAAAATTATAAAACCATATATTGTTTTACTTTACTTCATTTGTAATCCAAAAGGAAATGTAGAAAAATATTTGGTTTCAATGTGATTTTTATATACGCATATTATTATTTTCAACTTGTTAAACTTTTCATTAGAATACCATTTGTATATTTATTTTTAGAAGCTATGATTCTGTGAAAGAAATTGCTGAAATTAATACATTAGAATAACTTTGATTATTCAGAATACATTCTTTTCTCTCAAGTAGAATTTTTAAAAAACATACACAATGTAATTTGATATATTATCATTGTTATAATCTACTGTCTAAAAATTATGAAATTAAAAAGTTTACAGTATTTACTATTCACAAGTTACATGTAATAATACAATTACTTATTGGCTGAATACTAGTACATTTAAAACTTTCACTGTTTTATATATTTCAGGTAACTGCCTGTTTATCACCTGTCCACAAACATTTAAATACAAATGTTACTGAATATGTTTCTAAACTGCTCAAAGTTTGTCCAAAAAAAAGGTATTGTCTGTTATTTGATATGTAAAATTTAATCAAGAAGATAAGGTGATTTTTGCTAGAGCTGGTTGATTAGTGTGATTTGTAATCAATTAATCATCAAGCTTATTAATTAATTACATTCAACTAATCAGTTATTTTACAAAAGACTAATATTCCTATTTCCAACTTTTTTTGGACACTATCAAACTAAACTTTATTTAATGTGATAGACATATTCAAAGATAAAAACTTAGGAGTAAGTTACTTCCTTAACCCTAAAGTATATTAAAATATCATTTACAACCTTTAATAAGCTGTAAATATGATTAATATCCTCCATTGAGTTTCTTCCTACAAATTTTCACAAGAATACTAAAACTACTGAACTATTGTTAAAGAAAATAAATATTACTTGGTGACATTGGCTATAATTCAGAAAAATAATAAACATTCTTACTAGTTAGGGTTGCTGCATAGCTAATCAGAATCAGTAAAGTTCAGAAAAAGTTTTTGGACTGTTATCAAAAATTCTGATATTTATTGCTAAGCAAGATAATGCAGGAAAAAGTAAAGCATTGTTACAGAGAACTATGATATCTGACTTAAGTAGCTATTACTCAATATACTAATCCATTGTTAAAAATAATTGGTCGTTGATTTCATTTGATAATCTAGTAAATATTCTTTTCACAGCATGTGATAGATGATATATAATCCAATGAAAACAAATTTACATAGATCCTAGAAACACAGAAGTCAGTACAGTTTGTAGTATGTTACAAGAAAACGTGATGATACTAAATGGCATTTTCGTAGAGATTATAATGATCTGTAAGATGAAAATTGAAGTTTTAAAAGAAATATTAAAAACACAGAAATATAAAAAAAAATCTTTAATTACCAACTTTTGATTTTTTTTACTTACATCATTAGCTTGAAAAGTTTAAAAAATAATTAATAACTTTATTATTTTAAAGATTATTAGCCACTGCATAGCGGCTCATAGAATGACTCTGAGTTGTTGTTTTGTTACAAGTACAAACTTTTAGCTTGTGGCTCCACCTCTTGACCGATTTGAGTTCTAATTACACCCATGGCTATTGAGGATTCCCTCTTGTTTTAAACTAGAAGTCATTGATACAGATGGAAGTTTAGAAAAAAACATATGAAATTACTAATACATTTACATTTTACAACACAGGTTGGAAGAAAATGTAAAAACACTTGCATATTAAAGACTCAAGGAGTTACTTATTAGTAAGACTGTTGTTAGTCAATACCTAGTAACTTAAATACAGTTAAATGAGCAAGCTATTTAGCAACAACGTTTTCTTTGGGTGAATAAAGAATATTTACTTGTTCACTTTCAATCCACAGAATACAGTTCATAAAAACATATTATAGATTAAAATATTTAGTTTAAAAAGTTATATAATGCAACATGGATAATTTATTCTTTAATTTTTAAAATTATATGTAAATGTACTTCAATTAATTAATTTTGTTTTATTAAATAAAGTATAGTTTTTAGATATATGGATGCGTAATGTATATCACGTGGAAAATTTTAAGCATATAAATGCATAGGAGTTCCAGAATAACAGATATGCCTAAACCAATAATAAAGATATAAGATATCAAAGTCAGTCCTTCAGAAAATTTGTAATTGTATGTTAGTACATTTTCCCATTAAATTTTATATTTGGCATGCAATTCTGTGACTGAAGTAAAGTTTTGTAATTTTGTTTTCCCGAGCAATTTACAATGAAAGCAAAAAATGTCATTTACATCTTATTCAGAGTTTTAATAATTAATTTATTCCATGATATTTATATGAAATATTACCTTTCATGTACTTTCAGTTTCAAAATAAGAGTAAATTTTGGATTTTATATATTACTGGCTGAATGGCAACAAGTACAATTTCTGATAAAACTGTTCTTGATATCTATCTGTCGTCACTGATGTTTGAGTCATCTGTTTTAGTGGCTTCTAAGTCTTAAAGCAGTCGAGTAATCCTAGAGTGTAAAATCATGTTTACTTGATACAAAACTTCACGAGTCCACTTGTATACACTTTCAAGTGATATTTACAATCTTATATAAAGTTGGTTGTAAATAGTTTAGCATTTAAACAGTTAATGAGAGTACATCAGACTAACTGTATAGAGACCACTGATATAATGTTATGAAAAAAATAAATTGAAATATATTAATCACAAAATGAAACAAAAAAAATATTGAGACAAATATTAACAACAACTATTGTTACATTGCTTCCTGTTTTGTAATTGTTGTCATGAGGCATAACCATTCGTATGTTTAATTCATAAAAAGTTACACAGATGGTGAAAAGTGTATACGTGATGCTGTGGAATAGAGTAATTTTGAAATATGTACAGTTATCTGATAAAGAAAATACATAAATATATTTATCATACTGCATTTCCTTGCATTATAAAAATAAGAACTATTATTCTTGAAAGACTGTTGATTTTTTAAGTTAATTTATGACTAAATAGCTTAAGTTTGTAAAGATCATGTAGGACAAATGACTTTGGTAGAGACAGGTAATTTAATCAATACAATTAATTACCTATGAGCAGTGATTACATCAATTAATGGCACATAAACTGATTACTAAAAATTAAATTAATTAAACAAAGTTTATATTAATGATTATTATTATTTTTCATTATTCTAACAGTCGATTAATTTAAAATTAAATTATATCAATTGTCGTGAAAGTAATCTGAAATTAGGTTTTTTCAGTTATTACTATATTCAATTATTCCAGCCATTAAAGAAATCAAAATATTGCCCCCAAATGAGCTTACCCTGTTTTATTTATGGAATAGCTACCATCATTAATGTTTAACTACTACTCACTGGATAGATGTCAACTGGCTGGCAGAACCCACTGCATTTTTTTTTGCATTATACTAATCAATTAATTAGCAAATACCACTAAACACCAACTCTAGACATGAGAGACTGGCAGGCTTTTAATTGTGCTAAGTGATCCACATATTTTCTGATTAACCAACTATAGAAAATATACCTAATTATAACAAAAAAACTATTAAAGTTACTGCATTCTCTAAAGCATCACTTCACCCAAACTACACAAGCTGGTCTTATTTTTACCATGTTTGTATGATGTTATTGGGGACTGGATAAGGACTTGAAGGTAATGAAATCATTGTAGAGATAGACATTTAAAAAAACTTGTAATACACTTCATGTAAAATTGTTATAGTACTCGTAGAGAGAGACTGTATTTTAGATTATAGTACTCTTAGAGAGAGACTGTATTTTAGATTATAGTACTCTTAGAGACATACTGTATTCTCTCTCTAAGAGTACTATAATCTACATTGTATTTTAGATTATAGTACTCTTAGAGAGATACTGTATTGTAGATTATAGTACTCTTAGAGAGAGACTATTTTAGATTATAGTAGTCTTAGAGTGAGACTGTATTGTAGATTATAGTACTATTAGAGAGAGACTGTATTGTAGATTATAGTACTATTAGAGAGAGGCTGTATTGTAGATTATAGTACTATTAGAGAGAGGCTGTATTGTAGATTATAGTACTCTTAGAGAGATACTGTATTGTAGATTATAGTACTATTAGAGAGAGACTGTATTGTAGATTATAGTACTCTTAGAGAGAGACTATTTTAGATTATAGTACTATTAGAGAGAGAGACTGTATTTAGATTGTAGTATTATTAGAGAGATACTGTATTGTAGATTATAGTACTCTTAGAGTGAGACTGTATTTTAGTCTCTCTCTAAGAGTACTATAATCTGTATTTTAAATTATAGTACTCTTAGAGAGAGATTGTATTTTAGATTATAGTACTCTTAGAGAGATACTGTATTGTAGATTATAGTACTCTTAGAGAGAGACTGTATTTTAGATTATAGTAGTCTTAGAGAGAGACTGTATCTTAAATTATAGTACTCTTAGAGAGAGATACTGTATTGTAGATTATAGTACTATTAGAGAGAGACTGTATTGTAGATTATAGTACTATTAGAGAGAGACTATTGTAGATTATAGTACTCTTAGAGAGATACTGTATTATAGATTATAGTACTCTTAGAGAGAGACTGTATTTAGATTGTAGTATTATTAGAGAGAGACTGTATTGTGGATTATAGTACTCTTAGAGAGAGACTGTATTTTAGATTATAGTACTCTTAGAGAGAGACTGTATTTTAAATTATAGTACTCTTAGAGAGAGAGACTGTATTTTAGATTATAGTACTCATAGAGAGATACTGTATTTAGATTGTAGTATTATAAGAGACAGAGAGACTGTATTTTAGATTATAGTACTCTTAGAGAGAGACTGTATTTTAGATTATAGTACTCTTAGAGAGATACTGCATTTTAGATTATAGTACTCTTAGAGAGAGATGTATTTTAGATTATAGTACTCTTAGAGAGATACTGTATTTTAGATTATAGTACTCTTAGAGAGAGACTGTATTTAGATTGTAGTATTATCAGAGAGAGACTGTATTTTAGATTATAGTACTCATAGAGAGAGACTGTATTTTAAATTATAGTACTCTTAGAGAGAGAGACTGTATTTTAGATTATAGTACTCATAGAGAGATACTGTATTTAGATTGTAGTATTATTAGAGAGAGAGACTGTATTTTAGATTATAGTACTCTTAGAGAGAGACTATTTTAGATTATAGTACTATTAGAGAGAGACTGTATTTTAGATTATAGTACTCTTAGAGAGAGACTGTATTTTAGATTATAGTACTCTTAGAGAGAGACTGTATTT